AGGCCTTGTTTTTGCTGACTGTATAGAGCTTCTCCATCTTTGGCTGCAGAGAACATAATCAATCTGATTTCGGTATTGACCGTCTGGTGATGTCCATGTAGAGTCGCCTCTTGTGTTGTTGAAAAAGAGTGTTTGTGATGACAAAGCTGGTCATCACAAATAGAGTTAAAAACTCTATTAACCTTTGCCCTGCTTCGTTTTGAACTCCAAGGCCAAATGTACCTGTTGTTCCTTTTATCTATGGACTCCCTACTTTGGCATTCCAATCCCCATATAATGAGAAGAACATATTTCTTTGGTGTCAGTTCTAGAAGGTGTTGTAAGTCTTCATAGAATTGGTAAATTTCGGCCTCTTCAGCATCGGTGGTTGGGTGCATAAACTTGGATTACTGTGATGCTGCAAGGTCTGCCTTGGATTCGTATTGAAATCATTCTATCATTTTTGAGATTGTATCCCAGTACAGCTTTTCCCACTCTTTTGTTGACTATGAGGGCTACTCCATTCCTTCTTTGAGATTCTTGTCCACAAGAGTAGATATGATAATTGTCTGAATTGAAATCGCCCATTCCCGTCCATTTTAGTTCTCTGACACCCAGGATGTCAATGTTGATTCTTGCCATCTCCTGTTTGACCACATCCAGCTTACCAGGGTTCATAGATCTTACATTCCAGGTTCCTATGCAGTATTTTTCTTCGCAGCATCGGACATTCCTTTCACTTCCAGGCGCGTCCCCAGCTGAGCGTTCTTTCAGCTTCAGCCCAACCACTTCATTAGCTCTGGAGCTACTTGTACTTGTCCTCCACTCTTCCTCAGTAGCATGTTGGATGCTTTCCAACCTGAGGGGCTCATCTTCCAGCGTCATATCTTTTAGCCTTTTGTTTCTGGTCATGGGGCTTTCTTGGCAAAGATCCTGGAGTGGCTTGCCAGTTCCTGCTCCAGGTGGATTGCGTTTAGTCAGAACTCTCCACTATGACCTGTCCGGCTTGGGTGTCTCTGCACGGCATAGCCCATAGCTTCTCTGAATTACTCAAGCCCCTTCGCCACAACAAGGCAGCAGTCTGTGAAGGGTCTGCTATTCAATCCTTGGTTTGCTTCTTTAAAGAAGAATTGTTTAATTTTTCCTTATTTTAAGAATTTTTAATGTTTCCTCTATGCTTACCAGATCACGGGCAGAGATTGAACACGAGGCCCTTATTGATGGCAACTTGGCGACTGAAGCAAACCTGATTATTCTGGATACATTAGAGATTATAGTTCAGGTGAGGATGCTAAGAAACATTTAAAAATAATTCTTATTAGTCTGAATGGCCCAATGCTCTTGCTTTGTGCAAATAGTGGCAATACCAGCAATGGCCGCTGTGAAAACATACTTTTAAATTACCAATATGGGATAAGCTGACAAAATTTAACTAGCCTCTTAACAGTGCTGGGAACTTGTTATTTCTGTTCTGTTCACTGGAGAAAAAAAATGAAAAGCCCATTGTTTGCGCACCACATGAAGACGTAGAAAAGATATATTAGGATTTTGCAGGCTTCTTGCTCCCAACAATATTGTTCCCCTATTGGACTCCACTTGGTCCCTTGTATATCAGTTCTTTGCATTTCTGTGCAGTCACAAAAATGAGAGTTTTCTTCTTCTGTGGCTCCCACAGATACTACTTAGACTGTTGGAAGAAGGACAGAGTGATTGGTGTCTCTTCCATCAGCCCTCTTAACATGCCTGCATAGAATTCCTATTGCCACCTTGAGAGTTGTTAAATACAGGCCTCCTTGTAGTCCTACAATACTGCCATTTCTCCTGGTGTTTCCTAAATGTTCATCCCCTTTGCTTCAGCCACATCTGAGAATCCCCCTTATGGGTAAGGAAGGAGTGACTACGAAATAGTAGGAAAAGTATAGAGTAAATCAGACAGAATGCTAATCTGTATTAATTATTTTTATTCCACTGAAGAAAAATATGCTCTTGTGAAGGCTTGTCCTAAAATAGGAATGGAGATTGTGTAGCCCGCTCCAGATGTTGTTGAGTCACATCTTCCAGAAGCACTCACTATACATTTTGTAATCCAACAACGTGTAAGGCCAAATAGTGTACTCTTTGTCCTAAAGGTTGAAATAGAAGTAATAGCAGTACTAGTACTAAAACTTTTTGAAAAGTAAGTTACACTCATGTCCATGGAGATACTCTGAAGTAAGCTTGCATAGCGGTGCAGCTTTTAATCACTTCTGTATTTTGATCTGTATAATATAATCTTTAAGTTACTTGATTTTTTAACCTTTTAAATAGTTAATGTCTTAGAGACACAGAAGTGTAAATGTAAAAGGGCTTCTATAATCCCCTAAGTTTGTGGTACAGCATGTGGTGTGAGATGTGGGATAGTTGCCCTGAACATACTGAGTGTTTCTCTTAGTGGTCATACTTTCATTGCTATTTACTTTACACATATTGTTCTAAGAATGCTATTGCCTGATTTGCTTTTTCTTTCTATTATACCCTCTGTCTGCGTGTGGGTGATTGTTTACAGACAGTCTCTGTGACTGAATCCAAGGAAAGCATTCTTGGCGGAGTGCTGAAGGTGCTTTTGCATAGCATGGCCTGCAACCAGAGCGCCCTTTACTTGCAACACTGCTTTGCAACTCAGAGGGCCTTGGTCTCAAAGGTGAGTGTTCAAAGTGTGGTGAACACCAAGGAAGAGAGTTGGTCTAGGTGAGTGTTCAAAGTGTGGTGAACACCAGGGAAGAGAGTTGGTCGAGCCTTTTCAGCATGAATATGGAGGTTATATTTTGAGTTTGAAGTTCAGCAGTGAACTACTCTTTTAAAAAAAACTGGAAAAACAAATAAACCTCACATTACCTTCTGTAATTGTGGCTGGCAGACTTGGAGGGAGGGCAATTTACTAGAATGGCTGTTCAGCCAGGCCAAGAATTGATGAGAATAGGTAGTCACTGTGCAAGTAAGGCAACATGTTCTTGGCCTTTGGGAACTTCCAGAGGACCAACTGCTTCTGTTGAATGATTTGTTTCACCACAGTTCCCAGAACTTCTTTTTGAAGAAGAGACTGAGCAGTGTGCTGACTTGTGCCTTCGCCTCTTGCGCCACTGTAGCAGTAGCATTAGCACCATACGCTCTCATGCCAGTGCCTCCCTCTATCTTCTCATGAGGCAAAACTTCGAGATCGGGAACGTAAGTATAATGGGGTCTGTAGCGTTCTCTATTTAGTAGGCCTATGGCTCATGTTATGTTATGTAATGGTTTATGTTATGTAATAATGGTTCGTGCATATTAATGTTGCTGAGAGGCGGAGCCAAAAGAGATGCTATAAGAGGCGGAGCCTGAGTCAGTCAGGGAGTCAGTAAGAGAAATGTAAAAGTCAGGCAGTAGAGAAAAGTCAGAGAAAGTAATAGAGTGTGTACTTTGGGAAATTCTGAGGTGTGATTAGCTACTGAAGATATACATGAATCAATATCCGTAATCAATAAACCAAAGTTTTATTTAAAAGAACTTGAAGAGTGGACCTGAATCTTTCTGAGGTAATGGTGATTTAGGGATCACCTGGTGGCAGCAGTGTTAAAGAGGAGAGTGGTTGCCTTCGTGTACTCTGAGGCTTGAAGGTCAAGCAAAAGGGGCACGAGGGTGAATGCCACAGGGTCCATTATTCAGATTGTTCTCCTTGAGTGAGGAGATGCAGCAGCTCAGAATTTTGGACTTTGGAGCAGGGAGCATTTCTGTATAGTGATAGTTGCATACAGACCTGAAGACTTGTATCTTACATTCAAAAATGTATTTCTGGAAATTCTGTGAAGGAGAGGATGTAACCAGTAGAATTCTGCCTTAAATTAACCATAGAAAGATAGATGTGTCAAAGAAGAAGCATTTTGTTGGCTAGGCCAGCTTAGAAACTGCATGCAAGTTTGCTGTATTTTCTGGCTTGGGTCTGTGATACTTACTAAACCAATGTAATTGTGAAGAACATGAAAAATATGATTTCCAAGAGGCTTATTAAGAACTTGTTGTTCCTTCCAGAACTTTGCCAGAGTTAAAATGCAGGTGACAATGTCACTCTCATCTCTAGTGGGGACATCTCAGAATTTTAATGAAGAGTTTCTGAGACGTTCTCTGAAGACTATATTGACCTATGCTGAAGAGGACCTGGAACTGAGGGAGACGACATTCCCTGATCAGGTTAGGAGGAATACTCTGGCATGAGAAAATGTAGATCTCTGGTGTGTGTTTTTAAATTGTTGTGGCATTTCTCACTTAATTTTCAACAAATACCCTTTCAAACCCAATATGAATATTTAATGTTTTCTTTGGAAATAAACAGAATACAGGAATATTTAGATGTTTAGCACCTCCCAGTCCAATAGACTAAACAATGAGAGAGATCAAGAGATCTTCGTTACGATCAACAGAACAGATAAGGCTAATCCAAGTTAATATTTTGGACTGGTGCTTCCAGAATTCCTTTGCCTATATGCCTGCTAGCCACAATGGCTCAGCAATTCTAGGAGTTGTAGTCCAATATCGTTTTCAATTGTTTTATCCTAGTGTTGCTTCTGTTTTTTAAATTTGTTCTGTATCTTGTGCCATCGTGGAATTGAATATGAGGGCAAGTATAAAAATGTTTAAAAGAGAAATGGTGGTTTAAAATTATAAACATTGATTTAAAATTCTAAATATTGGAGTCTGATTTAAGATTTCTTAGAAACTGTTCTAAGTGAGTGAAATAATACAATTATAAAAGGAATGAATGCAGAATCAACAAAATGTTGTGTTGCATCTGCTATACCCAGCATTCTGCATATAGAACTCCCATTCTTTTGAGCCTGTTGGCCGATATATCTTCCAAATCTGCTCCAAAGTGATAATGGCTTCTGGGGGGAAAGGGGGAAGGAAAATTCCTCTTGTGTGAGTGAAGGGAAGTCCATCCAGATAGCATTGGATGTATCCCTCTGGAAGAAAATGCAGTGTTCCCCTGGTACAATTCATTCATGAAGTATACTGTGGCAAGTGATTTTCTCATTAGAATTGCTATCATCATGCAATTCCAAAGTAACTGAGAAGTGCATGTTTTGTTCTGGATATTTTTGTTTCAGAGCCATTTTTAAAAAATCATTTCAGGTCCAGGATCTTGTGTTCAACCTCCATATGATCTTGTCTGATACGGTTAAAATGAAAGAGCACCAGGAAGATCCAGAAATGCTGATTGACTTGATGTACAGGTAGAGTTTTACTGGGCTTGTTGCTATCAAAGAAAGCAAAAGTAAGTAAACATGCACTTACATGAATCTTCTGGTTGTTATTTTTTAAAACTAGAATTGCAAAAGGCTACCAGAACTCTCCAGATCTACGATTAACCTGGCTGCAAAACATGGCTGGGAAGCACTCTGAGAGGAGCAACCATGCCGAATCTGCACAGTGTTTGGTTCATTCTGCAGCACTGGTTGCCGAATACTTAAGCATGCTTGAGGATCGAAAATATCTTCCTGTAGGGTGTGTTACATTTCAGGTAATTCATTTTTAGTTATTCTCATTCAGAGAATCGCAGCACATTCTTAACTAAAATAGAAGTTGGGTTCTCCCTTTGTCCCATGGCAGAGTATGGGAGTGTTTTGGTGTTTTTTTTAAAAAAAGACGTCTTCCCCATTGCATGTAATGGGGCGATTTTGCTGCATCAGTTCCAAGTTGACATATTGGAGCTGCTTTGGCCTTGGGATCTACATAGCTTTGAACCCAGGAGTGTCATATGATTCCTACCGGTGCTCATTTTGCACTCTCGGAGCTCTATGGAGGTGAACAGGAACTGCTGAGATGAACAGGACAAGGAATTATGCTGCTATGGGTATCTGAAGTAACTACGAAATGGTTGCTGTAGGTTTTTCAGGCTGTCTGGCCGTGTTCTTGAGGTTTTTTCTTCCTAACGTTTCGCCAGTCTCTGTGGTTTATGAGAAAAACCACACGCCCAGACAGCCCAAAAAACCTACAACAACCATTGGATCCCGGCTGTGAAAGCCTTCAAGAATACATTAAATATGAAATCTTACAACTGGAGAGCTGGAAAGGACAGCTTTGCTGTCCTCTGAAGATGCCGGCCACAGAGACTGGCGAAACGTTAGGAAAAACCACCTTCAGAACACGGCCAAGAAGCCCAAAAAACCCGCAACAGCCATTAGATCCCGGCCGTGAAAGCCTTCGTGAATACACTGGAAAGGACCAGGCCAGCCCCTGTCAAAGAGGCACAATGAGGAGTCAAAGACCCAACCTCTGGCTCAGCAGCCAGATACCTAAACCATGGAGCTATCTTGCTGTTCTCTAACTTAGTGGCCTTGTTGATATCATGGGGATCAAGACCACTAAGGCTTAATCTGGGCGCTGCACTCGCTGGAAGCAGTAGAGAGCAGCAGAAATTACTGGTTTTTAACCAGAGCTTGAAAGTAAAGAGTTACAAATAGTACTTACGTGCAGGAAGTTACTTTTGACTACTGAAATGGTGAGGGATAAAACCTGGGACCTCTTGAGCTACAACCACCCATGGAAAGCTCTAAATCACTGTCACGATCCCACTTGGCCCCCGCTTGCTTCACCAGATTAAGAGTTCATGCTACCTGCCCCTCAGCTGCCACCAGTTGATTACATCAGCATTACTTATTGTGACGTAGCAGGCCACTCTGATGTCACTGCCAACTCAGGCCTCTCAGAATGCCCACCACACTACTTCACTCTCGCTGCCACCAATTGAGATGACTATTTAAGAAGGACAAAGGTTTCCTTCAAAACAAAACAGGTTTATTGAAATAACAAAATAAAATATGTAAATCACAATTAGCTAATCAATATGTCAATCACTGTATCTGCTTGTGTTGCCATGGGTACTGACTCCTCCCCTTGTGTATTATCTTGTCCCTGCTGGACACAGTAAACAGCTTTAGGTTTGCTTAAATTTACTTTTTGTGGTAAAAATTCTCTATTTTCTCTGTTTTTACCACACTGGGACGCAATGTGACCTTTTTCATTACATTTAAAGCAGGTTCTAACATTCCATTGATCATTTCCAGCACCTTTTCCTACTTTTCCCTCCAAATTTTGCCCTCTGGCTTGGCTCTGTTCTGAGGACTTTCCCACAAAATGG